GAGGGCGCCGCCCGGCGCGCGGGAGGAGCGCGCGCAGCCCCCGCGCCGCCCCCGCGCAACCCGCTTCCTGCACCGATTTTTGCACCAAACAAGAGACCCCAAAACTCCCTCTCCTTCCACCACTCCTGTAACCCCCCTTTTGCACCCCCCAGCCTCCCTCTTTGTAGCCCCCGCCATGCTCCCCCTTTTCCAAGCCCACCTTGCTGCCCTCCGGACAAAGGAGGCGGACGCATACGAGCTCGGTCTAGTATTTTATTAGATTTCATTTCCAATATGCCTGTATTGGAAGATTAGGAGACAAAAAAGGCACAAACTCACATGAAAGAAACGACGAGATCATCTAACCCATCCTACAAAGTGTGTTGCCAAAGGAAAGAGCACGATGAGCCGATGAGAACGTGGCGGGGGGGGGAACCCAGGGGCAGGCGAGCGGCCCTGGCGACACCGACACTCGTGGGCTCGGAGCGTGGAGGGTCACGGCACAACGAGCGCCCTAGAGCAGAGCAGGAGCCCAGCGGGGAGCCCTCCGGAGCCAGCGGGGTTTGGGGGCCGCGCGGCGGGCGCCGCGCCGTCTTCGCTACGGGATCCGAGCGTCGCAACCCGAGGGCCGGTACGGGTCGCGGCTATCCCAAGGCTGAGGGATGCTTTCACTTTGGATCGAATGGGGAGCAGAGCAAGCGAAGAGGGGAAAAACACAAGTTCAGGATGGAGTTCCTGCTTTCTTTTTCTCCCCCCTCCTGTTTTTTCCACTAATCAGGAAAGCTTTATGTAAAAGCTCTTACTCTGAAAACAGAGGATCAGCAAAGGATTGCACGGTGGAATGCTACAATCTGCTTCCACAGCGATTAGTGTCATCGGCTAGAAAGCCTCTTGGATAACAGAAATTTAAAGAACAAACGTGCCGTGTATTCTGGAGTTGTCCTCAAGTGTAAGAATCCCTCAAAACGTAACCAACAAACACAAACAGAAGTCAGTGCATAAATTTTCGGTTAAAAATATTTCAGACTGAAAGAACTATTAAGTGGGGCCTACACTCCTAAAATACTTGTTGAACACCTACAGAAGATGCCATGAAACAACATCCTGGTCCCAAATAGCCTTGCGGATTAAGATTTAGTATCTTCACCCAGTAAGTTTGTTTTACCTCTGCCTGGTGAGTTTGCTAAAAACCCCTCATCCCTCCCACCCCGCAAAACCGCCTGAGGTCACTGAGAAGAGCCTGCCAGAGTTACTGGTACAATTCAGAGCTTATTGCACTTAGACATGAGTAAGGCAAAATAACAAACGAAAAAAAAAAAAAAAAGGGATAAACTGCCCCCTCCCCAGTAACCAAAAACCATCCTCTCCCTCCAGACCTTGGATCATCTTTCCTCACACTGGAAACAGTTCAGACCCAAGCACATACTTTTCAGCATGGCCCAGGGCCATTTCGGGGTTTCCTGCTTGCAGGAAAGGGCTGAAGGAGTCAGATGCATTAATAAGTGCCCAAAAGACTCCTTGAAAGTGCAGATACACCCATGTGTCTGTTTGGCATTCAGTATTTCCCATCAGTGCCACCAAATACAGAAGTGGAAAATAAAGCGATGCCTGTTGTGGGGGGTGTCAAACATTGGGCCTGAAAGCAGAGCAGTTGGGGGGGGGGGGCCATACGTATTTTAAAAAAGCACTTTTTTTTTTTTTTTTGATTCTGTTCTGCTTATTTGATTGTCTAAAGCTGATGCAACATAAGGATAGTTACAGAAAGAGTTAGAGTTCATTAAATACCCAGAGCTGTCTTCATTGTTCAACAGCATCTGTTGCAACTTAGAAGAACCGACAGGTATCCTACAAAACAACTGCAGGTTTTTGTAAGTTACTGTTCTATAGAAGGGAACAGCACATTTCAAGTCAGTCTGGCAATGGGAAGAATATTATTGCTGAGCAGAACTACCGACCCAGGCACCTGAATGTGATCAGATACCAAGACCTTATTTAAACACTAGCTTTGCTACGTTCTAATTTGTCTGGAAGAATCACATTATTATTAATCAAAATATTTTTACCTTGGTGTGCTATGCTAAGTCTTGCTAAAGAAGGAACCAGGAAGTTGCAGCATTTGTCAAGTGAGTTTTTACAATGATTTTCTACAAGTGACACACGAAGCTAAAGGACAACAGGGCGACACAGGCCAAAGGGACCACAAAGGGATCACTAAACTGAAACTCCACAGTTATGTGCGGAAGGACCTAGCACGGGGATGCCGAAAACGGCTTCTGCTCAGTGTTTACTCTGTCTTAGCACAGGGGAGTTGAAATATTGCCATGCAGAAGCCACGTATCAGCACGTATTCACTGCAGACCAAGAACTGTATCTGGCTACTCCTGATTACGCATTCAGGTTATACTGTTAAATTTGTTACCTTGGGAGCAAGGTCAGAGCAGAGAATTTTGCGGAACAGTTTTGCCCTCTAAAATATTGACTGTTTCCCTCTCCAAATAGACTTTCAAAGAATGGTGAAGGGCTGGGCAGAAACAAAGGTGGCAGTTTATCCCAGTTGAAAGAAAAAAATAAAAAATCTAAGTCACCACAAGACAAGACTAGTTTAGCTAAAAATGACACTTGGAAATCAAACAGGGCCACATGGAAGTTGGTCTGAACACAATGAAAAAAAAAAAAAGGGAGGGAGAAGTTGTAAATACAGCGATCTCTAAGTCACACGTTTCCAAGGAGCTACCTCCTTCATATACGTGCTAACATTGGAGTGCTTAGTACCAGACAGTCTATTTGCTCAC